GGGGGCATTTCGGATAGACAATACGTCACAGGGGGGACATTTCGAATAGAAATACGTCACAGGGGGGACATTTCGAAAGTTCCTTTCACGGATTGCAAAAACTGCATACGTCACAGAACAAGATAACCTTAAATTGTTGTATAGAATGTCACCATACAAAGTTGGTGCCTGTTTTCCCGTCATTTCCGCATATATTACCGAGAAAATAAACACTAACCTACCTTTTAGTAAAAATCATCTGCCAGGGGGGACACCACGAGCGCAAGCCGCGTTCGACTTCAGCGTTCTAGAACGACGTTCTTTCGAAATGTCCCCCCTGTGACGTAAGCAGTTTATGCGATCTGTGAAAGTTGAATGGGTCTATTATGCATTTGCATACATTTCTTAAGCATGTCATGACGAGTTTTGTAATCATATAATATGATAATTATGTTTACATGTATGCACTTCAAATGTGTAAATTCTTGTTTAATGTTTTACTATGGCATGGCATTAGAATTGCTTACGTAGGTCTAGTGTGTTTCTTGTAACAGGTAAACCAGACATCACTTTCAGTGACCTCCTCAACATCGTCTGCACTTCTGCCTGTGACGTCACAAGCTACTTCTGAGACTACGGATGCCACAGGTAATTCTCGTGGATCTGTGTTCGTCTGAGATTTCTGGGCATTCAGTTCTATTCACTGGGACAATGTACTGATACATGTCATCATCGGTCGGCTGCTGCGCAGGCGACTGCAAGGTCCCTCCACTGCCCCTTGTCGCTAGCAAGGTTGGCGATCTGCTTCTCTGTTAGTTGGTTGTGCTCATCTCCCAGTAGTCGCTGGACATACTTGAAGTAGGAGGTAGGCTGTCGGCCTCGCCTGCGTCTGCCATGAGAGGGCACGTAGAGGGCGTACAGTCTAACAGGTTCATCCTCAGACATGCGCAGGATGTGTCCCAGAAAGTTCAGCTGTCTCCGACGCACATGCTGAATCAGCGGACTAGTTTGGGTCAAGTTGTAAATGCTGTCGTTTGTTACCCGGTCACGCCTTTTGATGTTCAGCATAATACGGTAACACGAAGTAGCAAAGGAGTTGATTTTGTTCTCCATGTCCTTCGTGATTACCCAAGACTCACAACCATAGGACAACACTGATACACATGAGGCTTTAAAGAGCTTTACTTTAGTGGCAGTTG